ACTGTGGAGATGACCGTGGACTTCAGGAGAAACCTCCCTGCACTCCCCCCACTCACCATCATGGACAGCACTGTGACTGCAGTGGAGTCATTCAGGTTCCTGAGCACCACAATCTCTCAGGACCTGAAGTGGGACACTCACATAGACTTCATTACTAAAAAGGCCCAGCAGAGGCTGTATTTCCTTCGCCAGCTGAGGAAGTTCAACCTGCCACAGGCGCAGATGACAGTTCCACTCCTGCTATCATTGAGTCTGTCCTGTGTTCATCCATAACTGTCTGGTTTGGCTCAGCTACCAAATCAGACATCAAGAGACTACAGCGGACAGTCAGGACTACTGAGAGGATCATTAGTTCCCCCCTGCCCAACCCCAAAGATCTTTATACCTCCAGTTTGAGCAAAAGAGCTAGTGATATCACTCTGGACCCCTCACATCCAGCACACACTCTCTTTGAACTGTTGCCCTCTGGTCGACACTACAGAGATAAGAACAGCCAGACATAAGAACAGTATTTGTTTTTCCTGCGGGCCATATTCAGCCTGAACAATTCAAACATTCATAACTACACATTGTCCACCATAACCGACTCATTTATACTGAAAATTGAACATTTGTAAACTGCACACTTGTAAATAACATATCTGTACATTCATTTAAACAATTACGTTATATTTTTCTCTATTTCTATTTCTGCATATTTATTTATTTATTGTTCTGTTTTTCTTATATTAGTGTTATATTCCACCTCTACTGTGTAATTCTATGTATGTCTGCACTATGTGTGTACATTCTTCTGCACTGGATGCTCTTGTCGCCAAGTCAAATTCTTTGTGTGTGTAAACATTCTCGGTAATAAAACTCTTTCTGACTTATGACTTCATGTCCAGGCTTCTGATGATCAGGACTCACACAGAAATATTTAATTTGGAATCCTCAGCCTAGAAAGCGAAGATGTGGCACAGCATCCCCCGTCTTTCACCTCCATCTAGCTTCTGTGGGATTCATCTCAAAGGGGAATTGTGGGATGGACAATTTAGAGAACCTCCTTCAGGCCATTTGTTCTTGTTTTTGGATTGACTTATGCCTTGCATCTTGGTTAGTGTAAGACCAGTACATTTATTAGATTATTAGACAAAAACTCAACATACCTAAAGTTAGCTAAAATGTGTTGAATGGATTTTGGAAAATGAATTTAATTAAACTGTGAATTCTAAAAGTGAATCCTTGTTGTATATATTTTTGTCCTTGTTTATTGTGCAACTGTAATTTAAATAATAATAATTTGGCAGAGATAATCCACTCAAATTAAACCAGTTAATTAGCTATATTGAAAATGCAATTTGGTCTACTGAAAGTTAACATTAGTGCAATTTAATAATTTGAGTTACCTTAACTGGAAAATTGTAGTTATTGTAACAGATTGTTAGTTCAATGAACTAACACTTTCCAATGTAAAGTACTTGACATGTCTTGTTTGTTCAACAAGACAAAATTAACTTTTTTAGGGCAACACGTTTCCATAGATTGTTTTAGGTTCAGTTTACTTGTACAGGTTTTCAATGTCTCAATGGAGGGACGAAAATCTCTCAGATTTCATTAAAATATTTTCTTTTGTGTTTCAAAGATGAATGATAGTCTTATAACATGACGTTACTATAACATACATTTTCATTTTTGGGTGAACTATCCCTGTAATATTAGCCATTTGGTGACTATTCGTAAAAAAAAAAAGAGAAAATTAAAAAAGCAATAATTGAAAGACCCAAGAAACAGAGTGAAGGGTAGGATCAATGTTTAATAAAGTTAGGAAAATGTTCATATGGCAAGATAAAAACAGAAAATGCATTTTTAGTTAGGTTTCTGAATGCTATTTATGTACAACTAAATTATACTAATACAGAGCAACAACATTTTAAACAATAAAATATATGTATGTGCATATGGGAGAGCATTTGATCACAATTTTTTGGGGACATTTTCATATACAGCATTTGTCTTTGATTTCTGCAAGGAAAAATACATTAAAAAAAATACATTAAATCAGCAATGATGCTCATGCAACAGAAAATAATAGCAGTCCAGCTGAGGTTTCTCTGTGCAAAACTTAATGTATTCTTTTTTTTGATAACTACATACTACAAACAGATGCTAACATGGAGCAGCTAGAGGAAATAACATATATCGTGACTTTAAGCAGATAAATCATCAAACATACTAAGTTCTGACAGTTTGTCATGACAGCCTCTACTCTGAGAATGATTGTCTTTCACACAAATGCAACAGCAAAGACACTTGTTGCAGCACATTTACAAAGCAACCAGTGGCTGCTAAAGCTGCATTTGAACCGCAGAGCAGCTGCAGCTCAACGACAGACTTCAGCACTTACTCAGCAGTCCTACTTTCTTTACAATGACAATCTAATCAAATAAAAAATGACCTTGTATGGGTTATTAAAAAAAAAATAGATATGATTTTAAACAAAACCTCATTTAGGCCACATATCACATCACAAGCAAAAATACAAATGGGCTGGGCTTAAACTAAAGATCCATCACAATGCAACTCCATTAATTATGGAAGCAATCTACAACAGTTCACTCAAATGATAAACTGCTCACACCCAGCGTAAACGCGAGATTGACAGGGCAAGAATTATCATAGTTTTAATTGTTTATTGTTTGATGATCACTGCAGGCTTTTAATGTGTATATTTTCATTTCTAATATGTTGCGGTATCCAACAATGAACCAACACTTAAATGCATAATCTTTATCAATGACTGTTGTTTAAAAATAAAAGTTTTAATACATTTTAAATACATTGCCTATGTGCTAAATGCTAATGGATTTTAAGGTCTGCTAAATGTAAAGACTTGTGCTGAGGTGCAAAGAGCATGCAGCCTTCGTTGACTAACTGTAAATAGCATAAAAATATGGTTAAACACTCCTTTTGATGTGCTCCATATACTGAAGGTAGCAATGATGACGGTTGAGTCGATAAACCCCAAACGTCTGAAGCCTGATAGCACAGGTACATCACGGAGATGTCTATTTGAAGTCTACTTATAAAACAGATAGTTCCGGTCCTTGGTTCTGATTGGCTGAGCCGTGTTCGAAGCTGTTGTAAATTACTCTACAAACATACACCTTTGTTTACTTCTGTGTGTTGCTCGGCAACCACTTTGTTGGAACCACAATTGTGAGGAACTACATTGTTTGGTGGAAGAATAATGTTTTTATTAATATCATTACACTTTATTTGCTTTGTTTTATATTGTAAAACCTTTCTACATATATGGAATAACCGTTTTATAAAACTCTGCTTCGCATCGTGCCTAACAACGCCCCTTAGCTATTATAAAATCACTGTAAACCACGGCTTCACGGGGCTCATTGCTTTCATTTACATCTGCTCGACGTATTTTTTAGTGTGTTTGCTCATCTGCAATATGTCTATAGGACAAATGTCAAAAAGGCGTTTAGAAGAAGATTTTAAAAGATATTTATGATTTAGAATGAAAGTAAAACTGACATCTTACAGACATCTATCAGATGTTTGTACACAGCAGATGCTTTCCCGATGAAGCGATCTTTAATAGATCTTTAAAAGACATCTTACAGATATGCGTGCGCTGTCTGGGCACACTGACCCTCTGATCTTGCAAACTTCAGTCACACTAACTGACTGCAACAACATCTTTCAACTACTTACCGTGTTTCGTGTTGTTGCTTTACACAATGCTGAATCAGTTCTGTCTTCCTCTTGTGTCTCGACTGCATTAACAATAATCACAAAAGCGTTAAAATTATAAAGTTTCATTATTAATGGAAATTAACTGTCTTAAAATGATAAATATTCGTACATATTAATTGCTTGCTCCCCTGACCTGTTTTTCTACATTTCTTGCAGATGCAGCAGATCACGACTGCAGCTACGATCAACAGAGATCCAGCCGCGATCAGCACAATGTACAGTAAAGGTAGGCCCTGATCTGTAATGGACAGAATGAGACAGAGTGACTGAATCTGTCTGATCTACAACAAACTTGAAACATCAGCTCTGTATAATTAAGAGTAAATCAATATTAATATCCCCATACCTGCAGATGTGTGGCAGAGTTGAGTGATGTCCAGATGTTGAGTCTGGTGGCTGATGGGATTGTTGAGCACGCAGCTGTAGGTGTTTTTATCCTGATATTCCACCTCCAGAGGAAGAGAGAGACTGATGCTGAGCTCAGACACACTGATGCTGGACAATAAACTGTTTCCTTTGTACCAGGAGAGAGTCACGTGACCCACATTCAACACTGAACACAACAGTGAACATGATGATGATGATGATGATGATGAAGAAAAGATTCTGCTGAAGACAGGAACAGACAGATGAGCTGGAAACATGAGAGAATAAGTCAGTGAGTGTTTAATGTAGATTCTGTTAGTCTTCATTTTAATTATTTTCTCAAACCCTCAAAAATTTACATTTTGTGTCTGAAATGGGTCACACCATTGCTGTCTCTGAATCTCCCATCAAGAGCATCATCAAATACAGTCATGCTGTCAGCCATTACATTGATTTCAGCTATTAAAGTGTTTTCAGGCCCAAACCTCCACAGAATCAGATCATCATCCATCATTTCAGTAAGATCAGAGTTTAGAGTGACTGAATCTCCCTCCATCACTGACTGAATTCCATTTGTTTTAGCAGGAAACACACCTGAAGAACATGAACAGGAACATTAAGACCACTGTTGGTTTTCAAACCAGGGGCCAGGTGGACTGGTTGGACATGCATCCTGTAATACGACTATTGATTATACGACTAGGCTGGACATAAAGACATAGGCCTGAACTTATAAAGGTTCCAAAAAGAGATTTTTTGCAGTAATGCCTTAAAAGAACCATGGTAACACTTTAGAATAATGGTCATTAGTTAAACATTAGTTAATACATTAGTTAACATGAACTAATAATGAACTGCACTTATACAGCGTTTATTAATCTTTGTTAATGTTAATTTCAGCATTTACTAATACATTATTAAAATCTTGTTAACATTAGTTAATGCACTGTGAACTAACATGAACTAACAATGAACATCTGTATTTTTATTAACTAACATTAGCGTAGATTAGTAAATACAGTAACAAATGTATTGCTCATGGTTAGTTCATGTTAGTTAATACATTAACTAATGTTTAACTAATGACCATTATTCTAAAGTGTTACCAGAACCATATTTGGTTCCCCAAATTACCTTCCATTGGACACTTCTTAAAAGAACCATATGTTTCTTAGAGTGAAGAACGCCTATTAAGAACCTTTATTTTTAAGAGTGCAATACCTGTTGCAGCATCTAGGCATAGCACACATCTGAGACGAAATCTTGCGCTTAGTCTAAGGTAGGCGTAAATTGAAAAGTCACAACTGGTTTGTACAAGATTATTTTCTTGTCCGTGAGTTAATTGTGAATTAATTATTGTGGACATGAAATGTAATATGTATAGTGAATTTGCCCAGGATAAGTGATAGTAATTGTTAAGATGGCTGTGCTGACACAGATAACTGACTTCACCCTCAGAAAAAAAGGTACAGTGGAGGTACAATTTTGGGAACAAAATATATAACTGTACCTTTAAAGGTACACAATTGGTCCTAGGGTCCAATTATACAATAGTTTTCCTCTACCTAGAGGTACAAAAATGTACACTTAGGGTACCACCCCAGTGACGGCCACTTGCACCTTAAAATGTAACATTTTAACAGCATTAACTTAAAATGTTCAGTATGTAATCATGTATGAAATATTAAATATGAACTTATCTGTGCATCAACCTACACCGTGCATCATCTTGCTCAGAGGGACAGTATGCATGGAAATAATATTTCATTTTAATGTGTATTCTCAGCTTTAAATTCACTGTACTAAAAAAAGCAATATTATCTGACACTACATTAGGCTGCATAACCAAAGTGAATAACTACAGGCTGCAAGGTGAATTATACCTTTAAAAAGCATTAATCTGTATTCAGATTTTAGAACTAACACTTTATTTGCAGTGGGTTTATATGTAGCACAAGCTCGCTTACACTTTTAATAAGATGGGACAATTCCTGACATTAAATAAATAACCATTTACATACTTAGGATGTTTGCATCGTAACAATGTACGTAGGGAGTTCAGATATAAAAACACTCATTGTTAGGAGACATTTACTCACTGAAATCAGATGGGTTCACTTGTTATGATGTCACAAACATTTTACTTCTTTATTTATAGCAAAGTTTGTAACTATTGCGAATCATCTACACTGGTGTAGTGGTGCATGGCTGTAGTTTAGTTGGTGCAACAGGTGTAAATATTGATTGAAACGCTGGATGAGCTTAAACTTTTTTTTCTCTTTGTTTCTTTGCATCCAGCTGGTTAAATTAGCCCCTGTAGTTTGAAATTATATGTTAATTGCTTTTTGACTAATGCATTTATTTTACTTCTGTTGTTGCTCATGATTACTACTGAAGTAGAGTTGATTTTAGAGAGACGGCTATTTGCATTTGTTTGTTCAGCAACAATCCTTGAAATTAATATATTAAAAAAGAAACACACACAAACAAACAAGCACAATGTTTTGAAAAGCACTTTCTGAGCCCCTGCTGAGTTTGAGTATAGGAATGTCCATTATTTTCCTTGACATTTTAAAATATTTTCAGGACTTTTTCCCGTCCTGTAAATCACAGTTTTAAAATTATCTGATAAACAGAGACAACAGCAAGTGAAAATGAACTGTAGTTTGTTACACTGAAATATCAAGCCATAATAATGCTTAAACTTACCAGTCAGATGGCACCCGCACAAACAGAACAAAACAGGCATGTGAAACATTTTCTTTACCCGTTCAGTGTCTGATCTAAACTGACTATTGACTGATCTGCTATGAGTCCCCCCACCACAGAGTTTGACCCTCGTACAGTTCACACAACCGAAACACATGTCATATGTCCTATAGTTACATCCAAATAATCTTCTGGCTCTAATTAAGACTTTAACTGTTTTGATCATTTAACACTGATCATTTTCTTGAACTTTCAGAATGGTGTTAATCTCTATGAATTACATGGTTAAAAAATAACGTATTGATTTTAAAATGGTTGTACCACTTGGTTTTTAACACTACAATGGTTTTATAATTCAACTGAAATATCCATATATCAATAATTGTGTTAATGGATGAAAAACAAACAGAAAAGTTAAAATCGTCTACCATCTCAGATTGCCAGTGTTACTGAGGTGTGACTCTAGCAGCTCATCTGAATCAAACTGAAACCTTCTGCGGTCAGTTTTCTTCAGAAATGTGGTTTGATCTGCAAGGTGGACAAAGATCTCGTATGATTGTTTGATCTGTGTTCAGTTTGTAGGTGAAGAGTTTTTTGCTGACTTCCTGTCTAGATAAAACGGCTTTACAGTTAAATAAAGTACTGAATCAATCCATCAAAACAGTCAACAGTCAGTTCTGTTCATTTTTTTTTAATGAATATTTGTCAAAAATAATATTTCTATAGCCCGAAAGAGAGTCGACTCACTGCAAAGGCAATGCAGCACCCTAAACCTACCCATAACCCTATCACTGAACATAACTGTGCATTATTTTGTATATGTCTACTCAAGTGAGGACTTTGATTTTGAAAAGCAGTCACAGACACCCTGTTAGTTCAGGAAGTAGGAAGTTCAAGTAGTACCGCAGTGAGTCAGCTGAATGTTGTAACTGAATTAGGGCTGCCCTCGACTAAGGACTTTTCTGGTCGACTAGTAGTCGTTCATTTGAATCATTATAATGAGCCTTTAATTGCATACGTAGCCTAATATGCGCTCAAGTACATGCATAAAGCTTGCCACAGCGCACCGGCAGAAGTAATGATTATGAATGCATTACTGTGAAAAACAGTAAGGAGGCATTTTAATAATTTGATAAACTAGTGCTTTCTTTGTTTTGGGATTAAGAGATGAAGTCGGCGACACTGACTCGGCAGTAGTGGACGTGCCTGTATTCATGTTTCATACGGATTACATTATCTGAGAATTTGTTTTCCATTTGAATTGGTTCATTTGAAAGTAGACATTTCACTCTCTCTAGATATATTTTTAATGTCTGAAAGGAAAAGATAGCCTGTACACAGAGTTTTGCACTCAAGTTCACAGAGACCGAGACGGCAGAAAGCGCATCATGTTTGCTTTCATTATTTTACAAAAGCACAATGTTTTGTTGTTATTGTGAGTGCACACAAATAAATGGAGAGTCTTTACAGATTTGAAAGATGTATTACTCTTATCTGTAAGACCAAAAATGAGGGGTTACTATTACAATACTAGGGGATGCATAATCTGGCAGGGTGCAGAATTCTGCACAACACCGGCGCCTCCATCTGTCCTGCAGTGAGCGCTACTGTTCAGTTTCCACACAGACACTTGAATAGCGGACATTTCTCTAGGTTAACATTAGATTGAGCAGCCATGTAAAGTTGCTAATACTTACATATTTCAGATGATAAGCCATATTTGAGAGGTCGATGAATGATAGGCGAGCGTTTGGATGTCCTGCCCGTCGCTGTACAGTTACCATAGACTAGCCATTAACGATCTGTCCGTCACGGACTGCATGACTTCTCCCGTGGATTTTTTTTCTTTCTGCGACTAATCGACTAATACAATTTTGATCGAGCTCCATTCATCCAGCTCTACTCATTACGTCCAGAGAAGGGAAACTGAATGGCATTCAGCTCTGCAGTGAGCACCATTAAATAAAAAATATGTTCATAATGCAGGGAAAGTTTGTACAGTACAATAAAAGCTATGGTAGTCAATTTTGTTCATATCTCTGCTGATAATTGTGCTTTTTCCTGTTTGTGTCCCACAGAGAGGCATTTATCCCATGAAAAATAGTGTATTGTATTGTATTGTATTGTAAAAGGTAGTAAGCCAAGAAATTCTCAGACAATAGAAATGGAGGCTGAACCTGCAGATCGTGGATGGCAGTGATGTGAATGATGGAGCATCTACCCAGAAAAGGTTATATATTTTATTGAAACCAAAACTAGCATCTACAATATACATGTGAACAAATCAACTGCCCTTTTTATTTATTTATTTTCTCCAGACCAAAATAATGCCCTCATTAGTTTTATTTCTATTTTTGTTATTTCTATTTATTTCATTGATGCTAAATAGCAAATGGAATTGTTGTGAACTCTGTCAATGAACACTTGGGTTACTGTAGTATAATTCTTCATGTCTGTATGGAGGAATATTATTTGCATGGGCTTTGTTGTTGTTCTGCCTTGTCCTTAAGAAGGTGGAGCTCAGATCAAGTGATATCTGGGAATATTTTATAATTACAATTTATAATTATCACTTAAATAATTAGTGTTCTGCAGTCTTCTATATAATCTTTATCTTTACCAACTATGTTTTAATACTCAAT